TACACCTTTCCCAATTTTAAAACATTCAGTGTTCCCATCCTCTGTTCAAAGAACTGCTTCTTGGTCTAGGTACAGATTTCTCAGAAGTACTTATATTTTGTAGTACTATTATGTAAAGCATGTAGTTACTGTAAAGTGCCATTGAATCTGCTCTGACTCATAGTGATGCTGTGTAAGGTTGTTGAGAAACAGCTGGTGGATTTGAACTGCCAAACTGGTGGTTAGCAGTTCAGTGCTTATCTTACAGATCCACACCAGGCCTGGCTAAAATTTTATATTGCTTGTATATTTACAGTGAAAGATTCATTCTGGTAAAAGACAGGGTTATAGAAATTCTGTTAGTAAAACTTTAAGTTCAAAAGATAAACTATAAATGTAAAACATCAATCTCTGAGAAATGACTATGATTTATAGTATCGTTCAAACGTCTCCATCTTCATCAGTTGGTGGCTACTGCTTTGCCCCCAAATATAAATAAGTTATTTTCCAATTTCTCTATTTGAAGTAATTTTATATTTTTTGCAGGTTTTTTTCTGCCCTGTGTAATTGTGGAATACTTAAGTGATTACAGGTTTGTTATGATTGTTGTTCCTTGTTTATGAGTGCAGATGACCAAAACAGGAGTTTCCAACATTTTCACAGTGGTACTCTCTCAGCTAATACCCTCAAGATTGTCAATCTACCTCACTAATTTATACATATAGGTGGGACTCAAAATAAACCACAGCATTCCCAATGATAGTGGAAGGAGATATAGACCCATGTGCACCAATCACCAACACTTATATTGCCATTACTAAAAATTGAAGTCCTGGTGTGGTGCTGTGAGATAGTGTACTGGATCACAAGGTTAGTTTGAACTGCAAGGTCAATGGTTCAAATTCACCTGCTGCTCCTTGGAAACCCTATACCATATAGGGTTGTTGTGAGTCAGAAGAACTGATTCGACGGGACTTAACAGCAACAACAAAAAATGAAGAGGAAAAATATTTCTTCTCTGCTTCTCTTTCTTGGGGGATTGCACAGCAAGACTGCTGGAGCTAAAATGTTCTAGTGGTTAGTGAACAATTTTTTTCAGTCACTTTCATAGCTAATCAAGCATATATTCAGTAGTCTCAATTTCACAGAAGTGCAGCTCCAAACTAAAATGCTCCTATATTTATGAACCAAAATCCAAGTGGGATGGAGTATAAATCTGCTGCATCCCTTGAGAGTTTATGTTATGAAAGCTTGGATTCAACTACCTGTCATTGCCACCTGTGGATATAAAAGCTTGTCTTATTTCTAATGAATATGAGGGCAGCCTTAGCTGTCTAAACAAAGTTTTATAAGTGCTTCAAGTATTATAGGTTTGGGCATGATGCAGCACTTCTATTATATACATGTTACTGCTTTTATTTAAGGGTGGGTCATTTTTATGCAGGAGCATGGACACTATTTATGGTGTCCTCAGTCTCTGTCACTGAATAATTTCCTAAGGTCTTACCAATGTGTTGCTGTTACAATGAGTTTTATTTCAGTGAATCTTACAATTTGTTCTTTGTTAAGATATCCCAATCTATTAAACATATTTGTTTATGTCTGAGCACAATTGTGGCAAATCTTCAATACACATCTCCTCTGCCCATCCCTAGAGAAAGTGTTTTAGCCCTTATTTAAATAAGTCAATCCTTCAATTCAACAATGATTTAGGTCTACAGAATACAAGAATAAAAAAAGGAGGCAAAATCTTCTGACTTTCTATAGGAACTTCTAAGAAACCTTTCTCTCCCAGTCAAGACATCCATTTATAGAATCCTAACTGCTGGCATCGAGTCAATTCTAACCCAAAGCAACCCTATATGTTGTTGCTATAGTTACTAAGTGTCATCAAGGCAGAACGAACTCACAGAGACCCTGTATAGAGTTTCCAAGGAGCAACTGGTGAGCTTAAACCACCTACCTGGCAGTTCAAAGCAAACTTGCATTCCAGTGCATTAATCCACAGTGCCACATCAGGATTCTGTTGTTAGGTGCCATTAAGTAGGTACCAACTCATAGCAACCCTATGCACAACAGAATGAAACACTGTCCTGTCCTGCACCAATCTCACAACTATTGCTGCTGCCACTGTGCAATCCATGTAGTTCCTTTTTTCCTCCAACCCTCCACTTTACCAAACATGATATGCTTCTCCAGGAACTGATCGATCCCTCCTGACAATGTGTCTGAAGTATAAGTAAGGAAGTCTCGTCAGCTTGGCTTACAAAGAGCATTATGGCTGTACTTCTTCCAACACAGATTGGTTTGTTCTTTTGGCAATCCATATGCTCCTCCAACACCATGACTCAAATGCATCAATTCTTCTAGGGTCTTTCTTATTCATTGTCCTACTTTCACAAGCATATTAGGCTACTGAAATTACAGTGGATTGGGTCAGGCCATCCTTAATCATTAAATTCACATCTTTGCTCTTGAACACTTTAAAGAAGTCTTGTACAGATTTATCAAATGCAAAATGTCATTAAATTTCTTGACTGCTGCTTCTATGAATGTTGATGGTTGATCTGAGAAAATGAAGTCTTTGACAACTTCAGTGTTTTCTCTTTTTATATGGATGTTGTTTATTGGTTCAGTGGTAAGGATTTGTGTTATGGCGTTGGAGGAGCATAGTAAAAGTACCATGGATTGCCAAAAGAACGAACCAATCTGTGTTGGAAGAAGTACAGTGATAGTTAAATGGGAAAACATCAGTTTTACACTCATCTTATAGAATTTTGGCCAAAACTAGTTCATTTTAGCTCATTAATATATCTTGCTGTGTCTAGCTGAGAATGTGATTCCTAATTATAAAGTCATTAAGAGCTAATGGACCAGTATGTATATATATTGTAGATATTGGCATATGTTTTCTCACTAATAAGGAATGTATACAACATATAGAATGATATGTGGTAGCACAACAGTAAGGTGCTTGACTGCTAATTGAAAGATCAGTGGTTCTAACCTACCAGCTGTTCTACAGAAGAACAATGTGGCACTCTGGTCACATAAAGATGACTCCGTCCCATAGAGTTGCTAAGAGTCAGGATTCTACTTGACTGAAATGTGTTTGATTTTGGTTTGGGGAACAATATATAGGAGAGTAGTCTTAAAATCTCAGTTTTTAAAAGAATATTTTACTGTGTTTAAGATGAAAATTTACAAAACAAAGTAAGTTCTTATTTGTTTAATGTTCTAAAAGAATGACTAACTATTCTGTGATAATGATTACATTTTTCACAGTTTAACACCATTCATTCCATTCTTGCTGTACCATTTTCTGTACTCTAGCTTTCCTACTCTTTTACATTTTCATCTTTGAATTAGAGTAATTTTTGAGCATCTGGTTTGCTATGGATGATTTTTAAAGAAGCTCATTAATTATGAGTGGCATTCTTTATTTTATCATCCAATCTGTTATTTAGCTAACAGGTGACCTCAAGGGATAATTTCTGTGTAAGTTTAAAGCATATCTCAAAGCTACAGTCTTAGGTAGTCCCCCAGTCTCAACTGGTACAGCAAGGTTGGATATTTTTAAGAATTTCAGTTCTGTTCTACATTTTTCTCCTAGGATCCATTTACTGTAACCATGATCAGATTAATTGATAGTAGTAGAGGGGTGTCACCATGTTCTTCAGGTCTAAGGGTAAATTTGACTATAAATCCTTTATACTGCTTTTATCCCTGAGTCTTTGGTTTCATCTTTCTTTATTGTTCTAGGCAAGTTGTTGTAATTATATTGTTAAGTGCTATCAAGTAGATTCCAACTCATAGGGACCCTGTATAGGGTTTCTGAGTCTGTATACCTTTGTGGAAGCAAAAAGCCTTATCTTTCTCCTGTGGAGTAGCTGGTGGGCTTGAACCACTGACATGGTGGTTATAAGTACAGTTCTTATTGTATGAGTCACCATGCTCCCTTCTAGATGAGCAAAGACCAATTTGTATCTTAGATTGCCACTCACAAACTTTTAAGACTCAAGATATAGCTTAGCACATTGGGAAGTATAATATACACTTAATGAGATTTTTTATGTCAATTTATTGAATTGTTGCATGAGATATGGTCCTAATACGTGATTGTCACAACTGTAAAGGTAGAAGTTTTGTAACAAAAAGGGGAGGGGGAGTAGTTAATCTTAAATTCCAGGAGCAGAGGACCATAGGACCATTAAGGGAGAAGAGCATAGTTTGATTCTGACAACCAATATTGAGAGTTGTTTGGTTATTTCTAAGAAATGTCTGTACCTATGTCAACTATGTGATTTATTATATATACATATATAATATCTATGTCCCTGTATGAACATATGTCTATTGATACTTCCTTTTGTGCATATCCATACAGCCACATATTCACGCTAGTATACTTATGTGCTTATATATGAAAGAAAGTAAAAAAAGCATTGCTACACCATGTCAAAACAGCAATTTTAGCATTCTTTAGAGACTCCAATCTTGTTAGTTTTAAATGTCCCTTTGAGTTGTGAGAACAAAAAGAAGTATGAACTTAAAAACTCCTGAGCCCATGAACATTGGCCTAGCTATGGAAGGCTAGAGCTGAGGGTGAAGTTTCCAGATGATATGAATTGGGGGGAGATGAGCAAGAACACCCAAACTTACAGATAGTACACATTCGACCTGACTTCGATGGCTTGATAACCAGAGCGCCATCTGAGGAAGATAAAGAAATTTGATAAAAGAAGCAAGTGTAAATTGCAACAATTTTATGAACTTGACCTATGCTTATGGATGTAGTAGCTCAAAATACCAACAGAGAGGGAAGAAGTTTTATCATTAAGGATCAAACTTATCCCCTTGGTATACAGGGTTGATAGGGATGGGCAACTTAAACATTAGCTACCAAAAATGGGGGGGGGGGTGGTCCTGGGGGAGGTATAAAGGCATGAAGTTGCTGGCTTACAAGTTTTCAAAAGGGAATTTAGTTTCAGAGTGTGCAGGGGAAGATAGAATCCCCACTGAATA